GAAAACTTTTTTTTTTTTTTTAAACTGACCGTTTCTCACACAAAGCTATCAAGCTTCAGAAGACTTGGAATATATTGTATGAGTGGACCACTTTTTTGATGCTGGTTTTATACACATCTTTTTTGAAGATTAAAAGTTTCTATCCCCATTCATTATAATGGCATACAGTATAAGAATATCTGGTAGATTTGTCAATATTTCTCCTTTTGTGCTCCAAGGAAAAATAGAAAATCCTACCGGTTTGAAACAACACAAAGGTGAGTAAATGATAACAGAAATGTCATTGCTGGTTACACTAAGATAATTTGTTCCTTTACTGACAGCTTATCTCATTTTGTTGTTGTGTACTCAAGAGTTTCAGTGTTGAATGTGGCATCTGCTACTCTTATCGACTTCAGTCAGCCATTCCAGATCAGGTCTGCAATGACCCTCGCTGTGGCCAGCCTTTCCATCAAGTGTGTCTTTATGAGGTAAGAGTTCGAAGATGCAGTAAATCAGCAGACAGAAATTGAACAGTATTTTAAACATCAGAACAATCATAGATTACCATGCCAAGACTAATATGCAATTTTCTAAAGTTTTTAATGTGGTAGTGTTTATTTCATCTTTTATTTATTGATTTGTCTTCACAGTGGTTGAGAGGTCTGCCCACCAGTCGCCAAAGCTTCAATATTGTGTTTGGAGAATGTCCTTACTGCAGCAAGGTAATATTCAAATTGATCACAAAAACGCAGCAAACGCACCATAAAAAAAATCACTTTATTTAAATCCACAAATACATTTGTTAAAACTTATAGCTCATGTGTCTAGTGCAAAAAATGACTGAAAAATAATTCATGCTAATTTGTTTTGTTTTTTTCCCAGCCCATCACTGTGAAAATGGTCACAGGAAATGCTTAACAACAGTCATGTGGTGTTACGGCTCCAGTGAGGGTAATACCAACAACCAACAACAGTCAGTATCATGACAACAAGGAAGATCAACATTCTTTTGATTGGCCATTTACCCTGATTTTCTGATTTCCCAAAACCATCTCCTTCTCTGTAATGGTACCGAGTCCATTCATCTTCCTGTCCACAAACATCACTTCCCCATTGGTTTCCTTCATAATCCGTTTCTTCCCACTGGTTCTGATTCCAGCTGTGTTTCCTGCTGTAGTTCCCCCAGTAGTCGACTTCACTGCTGAGTACTGTATGGTCATCTTTTAGACTCAGAGCATGTGTTTGCCGGTTCTCGTAGTGATGGTTTTGTCTTCCCCTCATGGTCATCCGGGTCTTGCCCTCATAAACATCTGAGTTCCTCTTTTCCTGTGTTGTTGGAGCAAATTTTATGTTTTCAAATTATAAGAAATAGAAATGAGAAGGCCGGTATGTTGAATTTGTTAATATAGGCTTTTGTATCAAACAATAAACACTGCAAACCATATTTGCATTTCCTGTGACTTGATGCTTTTAAAACATCAATCGATTTGAATAAGTGAATGATTGACTGTGCTCTATTTGGCATTTGGTCTGTGCTCTGCTGCTGGTTTTACTTGTTCAAATTCCTGTCTCTGTCTGGCTCCTGCTCTTGTTCTAGGATGAACTCGCGGAGGGAGGGGCTCATCTTCATCACTGATGTCCTCATCACTTTGATAAGGCATAGGCCTTTGTCTGATGCTTCCTTTAGCAGCCATGTCTGCTTTGTTTGGTCTCTGTGAAGATGGCACCAATGAATAATATCAATGAGAGTTATTAAACCACTGTATAACACTATATATTTATGTATGCAAAAGCAACTTTCTATTTATCAAAAATACTAAAAAAAAATGTATAACAAGTACTCCAAATCTTAATTGATAATAATAAGACATGTTTCTTTAGCACCATATCAGCATTTCTAAAGCATTAAGGAACACTGAAGACTGAAGTAATGGCTGCTGAAAACTCAGGCATAAATTAAATTTTTTTTTAAATCCTTATTAGGGGCCTTTATTGTATCCATTAGTTTTCTTATTATTCTTCAGCTTCTTTTTCCACTCTGGAAGTCTATGGCAGCCCATAGAACCGCTTGCGGGAAAGTTATGAAATTTGGCACTCACATAGAGGACAGTCTCAATATGAACCACAGCTAATTTGGAGTCTCTATCTCAAACTCTCTAGCACCACCAATAGGCCAAATTTGCACTTGTATTTCTGCTATCTTTCGAAAAGTAAAATTATTTTTCTTCTGATTCCTTGGCTCATGCTAAGTCAAATGCATACCAAATTTCTACGGGTCAAGATGTTTCGCAATTTTGAATTTTGCAAAAAATCTATTTTTTTAACTTTGTCTGATTTTCACCAAAATTGGCTCAGATCATCTTCAGACAATGCTGGCAACACAAAGCGTGTTAATGAATTTGACGAAATTAGAGCAAAAATGGACATGAGGCTGTATCTTTGCAATGCGGATTCTGACCAAATTTGGTACGTGTTATACCAAGCATGACCTGAGGGCACATGAGTAGTTTCAGCACAGCACCAACTACTGGTCAAAAGAAATTTTAAAAATTTACATTTTTGTTTATAATTTCAGAACAGTTTGACCAAAAATCATAAGATTGTTCTGGTCGGATTCGGAGCTGCATACCAAATTGAACGATGCCTAAATTTCCTATGTCTGCCTTTTTGGGCATCGGCCATTTTGAGTTTTGTAGTGAAATGCTGTATCAACAAATGTAGTAAATAAAGACAACTCCTTATCTCTTTATTTTAGTGATATGTTGTGCTTGGCCCTTTAATTACCACTTACAGCTATATTTTTTATAATATTTACAGTATTGCTGTTTTGCTGTATTTTTGATCAAATAAATGCAGTCTATTTGAGCATAAGAGATTCAAAAACATTATAACATCTTGCAGACCCCAAACACTATGAACAGTAGTGTATATATTTGTTATGTACTGTAAATACCCAGTTATACTGTGACAAAAATAAGTTGATTCCTAAATTAAACAATTATTCATTTTTTTTTTTTTTTTAAGAATTGTACCGGTTTGTGTGTCTCTCGTTTTGTCTTGCTCCGAACTTTGTTTGGTGTTGACCTGCCCAACTCTTCCTCATCATCTTTGGCTTCATCAACAGGCTTTGATCTTGTTGTTTTTTTCTCAGTAGTCTTGGGCTGGCTTGCAGCCTGTGGGGAGGTTATGTTAAATTAAATCACAGAAATTTACTTGCTTTTGTCTCTGAACATTCACAAGAGAGAGAGAAAGAGAGCACTCAATGTTCCCTCCCTGACCTGGATCCTGAGAGGAGAAGACCTGCCCTGATTAATGACATCTACTGCTCTCCCTAAGGTGGCAACTGTCCAAACTAAATTTGGCCACAGATCACCAGCGAGGTCAGCTGTAGGCAAAATAAACTCCAAAAGTGTTGGAGTGACACACGGAGCCACTGGCCTCACGCTGCCTGACGTGGTTTCAGGAGAACTGAGACACGAGGGGGACATTGATGGTGTTGTTTTAGCTTTTATTCAAAGGAACTGAAGCTACATCGTCTAGAAGGAGATGAACAGAACCACAGAGAAAAATAGAACTACAAAGAAAAGGGGATTCAAATCTTAATGTCCTTGCTCTTGACACTGATGCTTTCCATCTGTGCAAAATGTAGGGTGGTCAAGGTCAGAGGAAAAAGACACTTCTGCACACTGTTTTGTATGAACTATCCATACATCCTTGTAGAACATTAAAATACATTGATACTGCGACCATCACCCAACTACCTGGGCACAAACCAGGAACATCAATGTACTCACTGAAGGAACAATCAAATCTTCTCAGCTCTGAACTTGCGGTAATCATGGTTGTGCAGAATTGCGAGTGTGGTCACATTTACCTTTGTTCGCCGAATTTTCTAGAGTGAAATCCAGTCATTCAATTGAAATCCAAATGATCAGGAATTATGTGTGAGGGCAGATTTTGTACTGGGTTCAAGTTGAGCAAGGGATCAAAATAAAGCTGCTTGGTTTAAAAGTGACTAGATACATCGCTATACTATTGACTTCTGCCATTTTTTTGCAAGTGAAATTTCACTTAAATTTCTTAGCTCATTCATAGCATGATATTTTTTATATTATTCAAATCATTGTTTGTATGATTCATGCTTTAGTTATAAAACACTTGAAAATGCAAAGGTCAATCTAAACCTGTAGAACTGAGTTCTCCAGGTGGTACACTGTATTACTTAGAGTGGTTTCAATATCAGGCTACAAGTAGAGTAAATGACACCTTAAACACTGAGGGTATTTACCAACCCTTCTCCAAATCCTCAACACTGAGTCTTCTCTATTGAACCACAGATCAAATCGCTGGACAGCTTCACATAAAAATGAGAGGCAATTCTAACTGGCGCTCTTTTGGCCTCAGCAAAATGTGTGTATTCAACAGCCTCAAATTGGGTTGCTCGGGTGTTTGCAAAAGTTCAGCGGTTCAAGTTGGCAGTGATCAACTGTGAAGTGATTCCAGAGGAATTAAGGTCTCTCAACTCCAGACCTCTTGAGAGCCAATAAGCCTTTTGGCAAGGTCAGCAAAGGTTAACCTACAACACTACGGTCAAGATTCACCAGCTCATTCCCCTTATAGAGAAAAAGTGCCATTCTTGTCTCTTGTAATAGAGCGCAGGAATTCAGTGTGGTGTATTTTAAGCCGCTCAATTCTGAATGCACATATAGACACTGAAATACAAGCCTGCAAGTGATTGCAATAAATAAAAGCGCTTTAATTAAATAGCTCTCTTGTACGGTTTTCACACTGCATTGAGCTGTGACCCCAAGCTGAGGGCCTTCAGTAACTCTGAGTCTGTCACCACTGTGTAAATCTACTTTTTTTCTGGTCTGCACTACTTCGGCCCAACTCCAACGCCGCCAATTGGCCAGTTAGAAGCCTCTGAGCAGAAGTGGGAGTCAGTGTAGCAGGGAAAGGGTCAGAGGAGGGTTCCCAAACCTGAGCATCTCCTCTCTCTCCCAGACAGATAAATCTGCCGCAGCCCACAGGCTGCTCTGAATGCTCCAGCCCCGGCTCATATGGTCTCTATTAAGACTACTGGGCTGCTGCGCCAAAGCATCTCACACTCACCCTTTGTGTGGCTGGCCTGGCTGTCTCCGACGGTCTCGGCCTAGAGAAGTCCAATGGGCCTTGCGGCCCGGCCACTGACAGAATCTTCCTGAGGGCCTGGTAGTCTGGCTTTTCATTGTAGCCAAGGTTTTTCACAATGGACAGGTACCTGGTAATCTCTGCAAGGGGTCAGAAAGAAGGACATCTGAATACGTAAAACCTGGGATAGTGAAGATAGAAGGGATAGTTCACCCAAAAAAAGAACATTCTGTCACCATTTACCCTCATATCATTCCAGACTTTCTTTCTTCTGTGGAACACAAAGAGATATTTTGAAGAACATTTCAGTTTTTGTTCTAACAATGAAAGTTGGGGTCCAAAACTTTCGAGCAGCATGAAATTCATCTAAACACCTCCATTTATCCAATTAATTCAATCAAAATGTAGAGACTACATCGAATATAGCAACACAAATGTCAAATAACGTCAAAACTCATTGGTTCTTACACGTTACATGACTAAATGTCACCATATTTGATGTAGGCTGTGCATGCATGCATACAGAACAGAACTGGACTATGCCATTCAGGTTGTATGGATTAATTTCACACTACTCTTATGTGCTTTTTAGGGCTTGACATGAGGGATGACGATCTTCTTTCTTGGGTGGACTATAGCTTTAATATACATTACAATTTAATAAACAATACAATTTAATAAACAATTTTAAAAATCAGATGTTGAGCGGGACGCATTGTCGAAACACCTCATCATGTGAAGCATCCTAAATGTATATTTTTTGGCAACTTCAGAAGTGAGGACTACTGTGGAGGTGGACCATGGTTGTGTATTTGCATAATTCACAGATAAACCCCAACTGAGCTGGACTGCATGTTTTATGTTGATGCATCCTGCAACTGACCTAGATGCTTACTGAAAGCACGCGCAAAAGTCCAGCCAAGTGACAACCTGCATCTGCAGACTTAATTTTCATTCCAAAGGGAACAAAAACCACATCTTCTTAACAAATGGACGGTGGCAGGAGCACAATGTAGAAGGACCTCTCTGTTCATACGAGAACACAAATGTGTGTCTAATATGGGCACCTTCCATTCTTCACTGTAATAAATATGCTAGATGCAGTGCTACGCCGGTGCGTATTCTCTTTGTGGCAGCCCAGCTGAATGTATACCACATGCGCAGCCTTGATGCATGTTAGAGGTCTTATCTTTCTGGTCCAGCTGCAGCCAGCCTCTCAAGGTTGGGGGAATAAGGCCTCATCATAATCATAGATCACAAAGCCCCCTTTCAGAAGACGCACGTGCCCTCGCTCCCTGTGGAGGGGGGAAAGATACTGCAGGGACGCTAGAGTCCGTTGATGAAGGAGAGGCAAGGAGATTGTGCTTGTGGGGATGGCAAGGAAGCTAAGTCTCTGCCCCATACCTTGTTGATCAATGCAAATGGTCTGCACGCTCACGTGCACCTACCCGTGCTGGAGCCGGAGGTGGACATGATCACGACAGAATCTGGCAGGTTAGACATCAGCCTGTGGTCAAGAGATGATAAAGGGAAAGGTTAACCAGAGGTCCTGTTGCAAAATGCATCTGAATACACATCTTTGCTCGCAACCCATTGAAATACACAAGATATTTTAACAGTTTTATTGTGAAGAACTCTATCCTCTATTCTAAAGATCTGCAGATTCTTATAATCCACAGCTTAAATTTCCAGGCAAGAAAGAAAGCGTGTGGCCTTACACCTTTGGTGGAGTTTTAAGGCTTTAACGAAGCAGTTGAGTGAATAATTCAGGCGGAATAAGCACAGAAAGCCTCTGATCGGCAGCCACTGTACACAACAGAGCACAAGGCCTAGACCTGTGGTGAAAAGGGGAACGTACTTGGCCTTGGCCTCCTGGACCTCAGCTGGGTTCTTAAGAGATGAGAGCCAGGGCAGAGTTCCACACTGCCAGTGAAGCAAGCAGTAGCCCAACACCTCCAAGTCTCCTCGTCTGGATGGGGCTGTTGGAGAAAGCGAAGATAAGGAAAAGAAGTTGAGTGTCGGTTGAGAAGCCAGTTAAAACCCTTTGATTGAATGACCCGTCCATTGGCTGCTGAAATATGCCCTTATAAAAAAGGCGGAGAAATGGAGGGGGGATTGATATGGAGGAGTATTTTGTTTTCTCAGCTGGTGCCCTGGCCTGCCTCACAGGCTAACGGGGCTTTTCTAAGAGGGGCTGAGATTTGAAAGAGCAGGTCAGTTTCCTCCCACCAGCGTTCCTCACATCTCTCTCACACTCCCTCCTCCTTCGTCTGGTCTGGCGACTCGTCCGGGAACCTGATCCTGACGGCCTCTGACATGATCCAGACAGCCTGTGGCCCAGCCCGACACTCTCTCCGATGGAGAGCCAAGCAGTAAAACAAAGAAATAAATGTCTGGGCCCAAATAGTTTCCACATGTTTCTGGATTCCGTGGGGTCTCCGCTGGCCTTTAGAGAAGAGCTTGAGAGCGTGTGCTCCCTAGACCTCTTCCAACTCCACCTCTGCTCTAGCACATTACACAACTGCCATCTAGTGTAAATTTATTTTGTATACTAAAAACTTTTTACAAGGCCACTTCATCTTTTATTGTTCTCACATTTATTTAATATCTAAGAAAAAAAAAACTCTACCCTGGGCTAGATATCAATACAGATTTCTTAAATCGGTTCATTTCAGATTCACAAACTCTTGATTTGATTCAGATTTTAATTTGATTCAATTAGATTCTAACTCTTTTTTTGCTTACATATTCTTACATATCTAATTCTGTAAATTATACCAAGGTTCAGATGGATTCAAATCACAAACTCATCTTCTTGAATGATTAATTACGAGAACCAACTCATAAGAGCCTGATGTTTCAATAAGCACTCAGTTAGGATTCGGGCTACACGTCACACTGTATGTTTTTGATTCACTGAAAAGAACCAGCTCGTAAGACTCATTCATTTAGGAATCAGGCTACACGATTCATGCTGTATATTTTTTATTTACTGAACAGAAGCAGCTCACAAAAGTAAGTTGCTTGCGAGTCAGACTAAACTGGTCATGTTTGTTTTCGAATGAAGCCTGTGAGAACAACTCAAAATAATTTTTAAATCAAATTTTTTTTTTTTACCCTGCACTAAATTTTTTATTTCATTTTTATGCAATGCTTAACAACTCATACACTAGATTCTACGCAACTGTTCTTAACCTCAGGAGCTGAAGAGATTAGTATTTTTGGAATCAGTATAAGGGTTTTGGTCTTCAAATAAGCCCAATAGAGCTGGTTTCACACTTGCATAAGCTCAATGGGAATCTATCCCAGTTCAGTTTTAACAACACCACTCTAATGTTACAGCAAAAGCATTTGCTTATGCGCACCGAGTGTGAAATGGCCTCACTTAATCTGACTGATTAATCTTACACCAACCAGACAGAAGCAACATTTAGATATGAAATATTCATTTTTGGATCCCAGCTATTAAACTAAAATACATTTTGGGTCAGACTGACCAATTACAGGTTGACTTTAAGCCAAGGACCCTCAATGAATTACGTTCACCTAAATTTAAATCTGAATGGAACAGTTTTGTCAGTTCTGCTCATATACGAGAGTTAACTTCCCGTTAAGCATGTCTCTTCATGAAAAGCTCCAACTTCATCAATAAGGGTAAATTAAGGCACATCATTTGTTCGTGCCTAGAGAGTGTATTAACTCAATACTGTAACTGCAGTCCATCTCCTGAGAAATTACCTATTGACTGCATTCATCAAAAGGGAAAATCTCTGCCTAAATCCATGACCATCATTGATCCTGCCATGCCCATTACGGAGTCAGCCTCCTTGCCCGCTAGCCAGCAACACGATTAGACCACGTATATAGGTTTTCTTTATTTTTCTTCAACCTTGACCAAACTAATTTAGCAAACACACAATTTAATAGAAAAGATTTTAACATCCTTCGCAGGTGACCTTGAAAAAAAAAAGCCTCTTAAGTGGCATGTAAAAAGGGCACTATGACTAAAGACCAAAGTGCACAAGATAAGACATGCTCTGTAAACATTTTGTCCGCCTCTGTAATAGGGAACCGAAGGGGTGGGCTGCCTGGCCTAGTCCTGACACCGATTCACTTATAAAAAGGCCGATCCACAAGAATGATGTATTCCAGGCTGAGCACAACACCTTCCATCAGATAGAAGCTGTTGTTCATAATTACGGCCTATTGTTATTGTGATTATCCAAAGCGCCATGTCAAACTCTTGAACCTCTCCTTCTGAATTTCAGCTGGCTCACTTCAACCCTACAGGTGATAATTAGGCCTTTAGCACGGGGTTCAGCGGGACACGAAGTGCCCGTCTCTGCACTCCTCACCATGGTAACAAATCAACATCTACACGGGGTGCCAGGGGCCAAAAGAAAAGAAACACTCTGCAATCTGCATTCATCTTCAGGGCAGACGATGCTAATGACCTACACAACAGCCGCCGACAGCCTACGTCAAGACGGCTAGTGCGGTGACGTCGACTCGGCCACAGATTGTTTGATAGTGGCACAAACGAGGTTTGTCAAATTTACAGCCTCGCTGCTTTGAATTTAGCTTTGGGAGTGGTTTAGGACACTGAACTCCTGAGTCGGTGCATCAGTGGGTAGGTGTTTTTATAAACTCTCAAGTGTTATATCACTTGCCATATGCAGTGTGATTTACACAGTACAACTGGCCATACATTTACAGAGCAGTGAGACAGAATGAGGACCATATGTAGAATCCTGTACATGAAAAGTTAACAAATTGTATCAGGTAAGAACATGGTCTTGTCTGAAAGCAGCCAGACCTTGATCTGAACCCGAGCATGATTTACTTTCTGATGTATCAAACAATGTGTTGTACTGAGTCCGCGCTATGAGCTACGAGTCATGCACTTTTTTTTTTTTCAAATAATACACAAAGGCATTCCCACATATTCATCCTCCACATATAAAACCAACTTTGTAATAACACCTTACTGTTAAGAAAATATGGAACTAACTTTTTTGTCATGCCAGTGATTTTATAACTTGTTGATACCATGGACCCACAAACAAGATAATCTCCTTAAAGGTGACATATCATGAAATTATGACTTTTTTTCTGTGTTTGAAGTGCTATATTCAGGTCCCCACCCAGTGAATCTGCCAACCCAGGAAACGTGAAAAAGATTAACCCAGTAATTTTTTTTTTTGTAAGCCTTTCTCTGCAAGCTTGTGAAAAGAGGAGTGCGTCAGATATACTAAAGAAAATTACTGAAACTGTAATATCAAATTCAATAAATGTGTTTAAAATAGTATTGTGTTAAACATATTTAACATATAAATTAATCTAACATGTTAACTTTGACCAAATAAATATTTTAATATGTTAAAAATATATTTTAATATGTTTTAAAATATTATAAATATTTCACAAAACATTTTTGTAGACCACTTGGCACCATGGAGTTCTTGCTACAACAACTTGCGACATTTAGGGGGGGATCACCCATTGTCAAATATTAAACTTTAAATATTTTTCTGCTGACTGGGCATCTTGTCTTTTTTCATGCACTTTCAAAATTAACAGCAACAGAAACATGGCTATTAGCAAGCTTTACCACTGTGTATTCAGTATTGAACTCCTGTAATATCTTATGGCCAATGCATTCAGAGATATTGGCTTTGAGTCCCAGTTCAACAAAACATCAAAGCTTTAATTAATAGTAAATGCATACAAGATGCAGGTTATGACTTTGACTAATTAGGGATTTCTTGAATTAAGTCTGCCCAAGTAAGCATGGATAGAACAATCAATATCCAATAAAAAGGACTGTACACAATTTACAAGTTAATGTGTTTCCAATAGTGTCCCAGTCCCAGCAATATAAACAGGACCCCATTATAAGGTGAGTAAAATGGATAGTGAATTCATACTTTTTGGTGAACCTCTTCCTTTAAAGTGAACATGAGATTAAAACTGACACCATTTACTTCCTTAATGCATGTTCCTTGTCTAATTGTGGCTAATACATTGCTATTCCAAAGAAGGGCTATCTATGTAATTCTTAATCAAATTTACAAAACCACTTTCCTTTTCCCTATTACAATTCCAGATAGATAAAAAAGTCCCAATCTATGTTTATTTTTCTCCCTCTCATTGAATATCCTGTTTCACTTGCAAATACTAAAATTATGGAAGTAAAATGGGTTGTAAATGGCAATTCAGGTTGACTTTAACTGGGAAACGCAGGACATTTGTGCATAATAACATATGTTTCTACGTAATACCTCAGAGTGGTTTCAAAAGATGAAATAAACGACACATTCCACATTACCTACTCCTTTGTGAGCGTCAATGCTTGTATACTCAATAGTGCCATTGTGTCCTTTCTTGGGGTTCTCTTTGTACTCTTTATGTTCACCATTAGGACAGTATCTGTATGAGAGACCATAGTCAGCCAAGTACACCTGCAGGAGATAAAGTCAGCATAAATCATCCCAAAGACATGTTCTTTCAAACTGAATCTCTCCTACTGTACATGGTATGTTAGTGCTGCAAAGCACAACTAAATGGGGTCAGTATTTAGGTTGTGACAGCAGATTGAGATGTTGATTATACTCAAGAGTAAGTTTCAAATGTCATCAGTGCTGGCTCGCCGTCTTAGTAGACGATCAATTAAAGTAATAGAAAACACTTTCTTTTGAGTATGTACTGCACTTGAATAGGTCATTTATACACAAAAAGATAGCCAATCGTTTAAGACATGATTGTGTTGATGTGTATGCAGACTCACCTTGCTTGGATCTTTGTGTCCCAATAATAGATTGGCAGCCTTAATGTCAGCATGGACGTACTCATTGTCATGAATATATTCCAGCACATCCAGCTGTTGAGGGCAAAGTGACAGAGGGGAAGGTTAACATGAATAATTTAGAAACCTCATAATGACCTATGACTACTTGCAGATGAGCTGGACTCCCAGCAAATGCACCTAAAGTTTACTCAAAATCCAACATATTAAGTAATACTGTAAATACTTTTTGCCTTGTCACACTTCACTACACTTCACACATCACATTTAATCAAACCCTACAGATTATAGTGTGTTAATAAATTGTAATGAAGCAAGCAGCAGTGTTGTTATTGTTATCTATGACTAAAACTAAAAATAGTTTCCATAATTGAAATTAAGCTGAAATAAATTAAAACACAAGATGTAAAACTTAAAAAACTTGAATGAAAATTAGCAATGTCGACTTGACAGCTATCTAAAATAAAATGTTTAAGCGGAACTACTAGTTACTAAAACTTGATGAAATTATAGCTAAATACAAACATTAAAAATAAAAATAAGAGTATACAGATGATAACACTGGCAAGCAGCTCTGAACTCAAATTAAATGTTGCACATTCAGTGGTGTCTCACCATGAGAACACCCAACTGTAGCACAGTAGTCTTCTTCAAATGTCCACCATTCTCCATAAACACCTTCTGCAGGTCTGTACCCAGATGGTCCATCACCATAAACCTGTACCTACACAACCACAATGAAAATGTACTTAAACACACAATTATTAATACTAAAAAACATGGTTATAGAAAACAAAAAAGATGCACGTTTGCATTGTTTTAATGTCAAATTCAAGGCTAGGCCGTATGACAGTATATACTGCTGTATGTGACTTTAAATGTGTCGGTAATGGGTAAAGATTTGTGTGAGCCGTTTAACAGTGGGCAGGAATGTTTTATATTATTTACACATGAGAATAATAAAAATACAAAGCAAAGTCTGTCCCAGACACACTTTTAATTTACCGTTTTAAAACTGCTTTTGCACTAAACCCAGACTTATCATTCATTTGTTATTAATATTTTTTTTTGTCCATTGAGATCCAGACAGAATGAGAAATTAATTACATGAGACAAAGTACTCACGCCATGATGTAAGATGATTAGTCAAACTCAAGTACAATACCTTGTTCCGTTACTTTCAGTCAGTCCAGACCCCCAGTAAGTTGGAATCCCCAAAAACTCCAGCTTTTTGGACTTCTTCCATTTGTTCACTGTGATTTCAGAGTTAAAAATGTTTTAGCCATTTTATATATTTGCACATGCTTTATAAACACATAATGTGATATATATATACACATCTCTCACACACTCATAAAGAAGCACTTCCTCCAGCCTAGCTGGAAGAGGAATCTGTCTTGACTGGCTGTGCACCAGATTGACAGTTGGTCAGGGGCCCTTTTGAAAAACCAGCATCATTATCAGCAATTTGGTCACTCTCTCTGAATTAGAGCTCAAACAAGCTGGGATTGCACTAACGACCACAGAGGTGCATGTTTGCTTTGGTTTATTAATTCGCCTAGCCAGGCTAATTTACATCTATAGCCACTTCATCAGTGACATGCACTCCATGTTTGAGAACTCTCAGATGAAGATGAGGGGTCTTCAGCAATTTCATGCAACACTACTCTAAAGACTGCATCTGTTTCTATCTCCTTTGGCAATAATACAATCAGTGTTTATGTTTTATTTTTATTATTATGTCTTGCATAACAACAGAATTACATTACAAAATTTGGACAGAAGTTTAAAAAGGAACAAAGTATCTTACTAGTATCTGGCTTTGCTGCTCGTTGGTAAAATTTCAATTCTGAGAATAAAGGTCCATTTTCATGATATTCCTGAAAATGTACAGTATAGAGAGTAAAAATTAGAAGCACTGTAGACATTTATATGATTATTAATGATATTTGTTCAAACTGTTTCAATATATTTCTTACCACTTTGATCACAAAATCAGTGTCATCGCGAACAGGGACATTCACATCCCGAGAGGCTGTAAAATGTGAACAAATAAATAAAAAAAATGTGAACATTTTTAAACTTGGAGAACTATCCAATCCTAATACGTCTAGAGTCATTATCTTATGTGAGTCAAGGCGTGTCTATTTTTTAAACATGTACACGTTAAGTGTAAATATGTTGAACAAAATAGTGAACAAAAAAAATACAGTTTGAAAATCATTTTCAAATTCAAGGTTCACTTGCTATATAAATGTCCAGGTCTTTCAATTATGCTGCCCTAAGTTACTCTGCCACCATGTCTAATGCCATATAAGAAAATGAAATTATAATTGAGCTTGGCAATACATATTTATGCAGAATTTAACGTCTTTACCCAAGTAAATCAGTCCAAAACCACCTTTTCCAATGATTTTACCGATGCGCCAACTCTTCTTTTCTGAATCTGTTAAAATGTATCCTTCTGGAAGTGGACGGGGTAAAGTGTATTTCTTTGGTGCCATGATGTTAAAATGTCATGTACAAAGTGAGACTATGATTGACGACGAAAATGTAAAGTTTCTGTCAGGTTCCTGACTAATAGCCTTATTTAAGTGCTGTTTCACAAACAAATTGGTTATAACAACAACAACGCGTTCTTATAAAAGCATGTCAACACTCTAGAAGCATAATATTATATACAGAAACAGAATTTCGCCTCATCATAATCACAGTTTCAATTCTTCTACACAGTTCCGGATCGTTTCACTGCAACAGCCTGCTAGTGCTACTTCCTGAAAGAGACACTCCCGCAAAATCGGTTCCAAATCTTTAACAACCAATCAAAAACAGTAATGCGTAATGCCTTTCATATTCAACCACCAATAAAATAGGTAGAAAGGCGGGGCAACAGCCGTAGCATATGTTTTATCACAGGACAGAGTCGATGTCTTTCAAAATAGGGACGAGAGGTTCCACTCGTTTTCGCGAATCGGTTCTTTTGGACAGTTTGCTGCAAAGAACTGATTCAAAAGTCTCAGGTTAGTTTCAGCTCAGTTTCAGATCATAAAAACAAAGGCATTTAATGTAATTTAAAGTCATTTAGTGTAATTATAATTTGCACTTACAGTTGACAGTACTAAAATTGATTAACATCTCTTGTGTGGTTTTTGCACATTTCAAATAAAATCCAATTAAGCTAACTGTTATACAATCATGTCACAAACACATTTCCAGTATCTCGTGTTTATATTCGTTTTTTAAGTAGGCTAACTTATCTTTCCTGAACAAGCTGTTCAGCCTAATTTGTGAGGAAAAACACATTTAGTATGAATAATGAATCGTTTTGGCAGGTTTTGTGAACAAGATCCGAATCAAAAGAGCAATTCGTTCAAGAATCTTACAAAAATATATTTTTCATTTGGCTAAAACTGATGAT